ACGTTAATCCTGCATTTGGTCGGGGTTGTACTTGTATCATATTATACTGTTCGCAATAATTCAGGCTACGGTCGAAGAGACTAAAATATTATAAGAATTATTGCCATATTGTAAAACCGACACCGTTTTGCATAATAATTGCAGTTTATTAAACACCGACGTTTTGTTTGGTAGGCGAACGTATAATTTTATTTTTACACTAATAAAATAATAATAATATACATATTGTAGTATAATCAAGTTGGGTATAATATGACGGGGCTTGCCTGATTTTTTTCTTATATTATTACTATACTACTGTGTGTGTGTGTGTGTTTGTTAATAACAGCTTTGCATTAAACTGGACTCGGATAACGTGTATTTAACTGTCATTTCAAGTATAATAAAATATTTAATTACTGGACACATAACCTTAATGCGGTAATAAATCTCGGCAAGTCGAAACGAGATGAATAGGAAAAAAAAAAAAAGGTAAAATATCAAATCCACCTGGTTTGACTGTCTGGCAGGTATGGCGTTTCCTTAAATATTTACAATAGAATTTGTTCTAATCCGAGTCTGATCTGTTTCTTACACAACTACAGATTATCACATCCGACGCTAACTTGTTTAAAAGTTATTTGATTTCTCGTGAACATTAACGTTGATTACAATTGTAACGACCGTATTTCCAAGCAAAACTTCAGTTATAAATTAGTTGTAAAAAAAAAAAAATTACAACCAGCTTGGTATGTATCTTAAGATGTTCCACGAATTTGAAAAAGTTTTTCGGTCAGACACATTTAATTTATTACACTCTATCAAATATAGGACCGCTCTCAAAGAATAAATCATATTTAAGTTTTCCATGCAAAAAAAAATTAAATAAAATGGCGAAAAATTAAAAACTATTTTTAAGTGATTAATTTTGAAATTGTTTACTTGTTGTGATTTTATTTTCAGTTGATTGTTATCGTTAAATGTTTTATACTTATTAAACAAGTTTAGATGTACCGATGAAAGTCGCGATATTTTAATTATTTTTATAAACAAAATTAAATACATTTAAAGTATTTCCGGCATGATTTTTGGAATTAAAATAAGTACTTAAAATTTAAAGAAAAGTTCATAGCAAATAAAAACAAAGGTTATTTTCAAAACGGGTTATACGAAAAGCGAGTAAAGCTTGAAAAGTTTTTGGAAATCATTTAAAGTTCTAAAAAAGTAATTATTGCGGTTGATAAACTTGAATATTTAAATTTACACTTATTTATATTTATACTTTATAAACATGCACAAAAGGTGAGGTTACAAATTATTTTAACTGTCTTATAATTTATATTTTGCTTTCTGAAATCTCTGAAATTCAGTTTAAACTAGGTTTTCTATATTTTAACTGAATTCAACGAAGAAATATTAGCCCCAAGACAAAAACTGATTGTTTTGGTGGTTTTATAACTGAAAACTAAAATCAAAGGAAAATTATATTTTGATAAAATAATATGTTAGTGCGTGATTTCAAAAGTGAAATAATACCATAAAATATGTAAAAAAAATAATTCGTCTCATAATAATATTAAATTTTTTTTTTCAGCTCAACATTAAGTGTTAGCCATAATAAACTAAGTTTCTTTATTTTTTTCTAGTGTTTGTAGTGTACTTTATATTGATATATGTCGATTTAATTTGATCGATTGACTTCTAAAACCAAACTAAAGAATATGATATTGTAAACAATTTTGGTTTTTTTTAGGTGGGGGGGGGGGGGGCAAAATACAGCTAACTATTTCTGTAATTAATTATAGCCTCGCGCCACTGCGTCGAAGGTTCAATTTTCCTGCGCTTTACTCTCAAGTCTTAACACGTTAATTATTATGGTCCATTATTAATCAGACTGATGTCTGTGAGCGTGTGCACTTGATTCCTAAGCAATCAATTTCAAACGCAAGTTCGGTATTAATCATTTTGGAAACACTGAACAGGCACACCGAGCTGTATATTATGTATGATTAGGGCAGACTGTATTTAATATGACATATCACTATTTCAATTTAGACATTACAAAGGAAATGTTAATAACTGCATATTTGTATTTATGTTATGCAAAATATACATTTTATCGGTTAGGTATACAACACAAAGGTCCCTAGACAATAAAAATAAAGATGATACAAATAATTATGTTCTTACAACCTGCTTCAGTTATTTACTTGTGATAATCAGTAATAATGATAACACGAGTAAGGTGACTACAATTACCGTATGCAAATGGGTTTAAAATCTTATGTGGCTGCACTGTAAAAAAGTAAGCGCTACGAATTAGATAAAACCAGATGGCGCCAGGTGGTGGTCATATGATAATATATTTGAAGTGCTATAGGTTGACACACAGTGTTACCATATTACTAATAATTTACTACTGTATACAGATTTCAATGGTTTAATTTGTTACGGTACAGTATGGTTTAATATGGTCGTACCTAATCAGTAAATAATATCACATATTAAATTATTCTCATTGTGTTATACTATGCTGCCATGTAGTTTATTGTTTTCAACTAAAGGTTGCAGGATCGCCGCCATTAAATTATAGTCGATTCATATCAAAGTATATATTAGTATTGGCAATGGCCTCTCCTTATATTATTTACTCTATGGATGGCGCTCTTCGTCGTTTTTTGACCCTAACTGAGTTCCGCCTGAGATCAGTGTGACCACATGCGAGGAACGAAATTATTGTAGCAAACATTTTACTGTAATATGCTAGCAAATAATTTTTACAATACATTTGTGATAAAAATTAATAAATTCAGTGACGCTCAGTTCTGAAACAATAATTCCTCAGGAAGTTGTAAGAAAGAAGGTTTACCGTTAGCTATAGTCGGATATAAAAATACAAAACTTAGCTAGACTCGACAAAGTTTGACACGAATCGTTTACCGGCTTAGGGTTATTACGTGCTCTAGTTTACTTGATAACAATAATAACACGGCTGTAATATTATTATGTAGTTCGGGTCTTCCACCGTTTGCAAAAAATACGGGCAATGAAATTTCATGAAATACACGGTTTTCGTTTTAAGCGATTGCACAACAAAAACAAACGCGTGCCAATTTTCCGTTATTGTATTTACCAAAGTAGTGTGTACAATAGTCACTCGTTATGGTATAGTTTCATTATAAATATTATAATGTATTTACAAAGTACAACAATATTATAACACAACTGTATAGCGGGTGTACAGTGTGTTAAAATAAAGGCGAACTGCGACAGTGTGACCACTTTAAATAAAAACAAATACTTTCTTTTATAAGATAATGAACACTGCACAGTATCACCGTTATCAATTATACAGACCAATAGATATGACAATACGGTAATGTGAAAACCGTATGATAACCGATGAGCCGTATTTGAAAATATGTAATAGAGAAATGTAATTTCGTTACTCTGGTCACACTGCAGCTCGCCTTTTTGCTTACTTCATAATATTTTTACTTATATTGCGACCTGCCCGGTTCGTCATTAGCTTTAACGGTCGTTAAGTTTCCAAATGATTATCAGTGGTCAACAAAACCATTAGTACAAAAGTGCTGCCAACCTTTTTATATTTGATGTATGCACTGTTTCGTTTATTTCAAGCGCGTTAAAAACATAATATGTGCTGGTTTCACGTTTAAGATTTATAAAAATATCTCAAGATTAAAAACTACGCACGAGTTTTGGCGTGTTGGCAACACTGATAACAATTACTGTGTTTATGAAAACTCTCCTGGCTTTTTGTCACGTGTGACAACAGCAGAGCTGGCGGATAATACTATTCAAATCAAATGGTCGATAATTAATTATTAAATTTTTTAAATTATTTCAATTTCAATTGAAATTATTATTTTTTTATACTTTCATAGTTAACAGATTGCACAATAACCAATTTAGGCTAGTTAATATGGACTATAAGGAAAGACATAGTATGTCATATCAAGAGTTCCCCTCGTTGGTTCTGTATGTAAAAAAAAAATAGCTATACAATATTATGAAAAAGAATTTTTTTTTTTTTAAATCTAGTATCTTATATCGACTGGGTCATAGCCGTTAACCGATTACTAGAGTGTGTAAATAAATAATATTGTTTTATCATCTGTCGCTTCCGGAAAAGAGCACTGGCATCAGCTTACAAACGTTGTCGCCGTAGAGAGACTAGTCGGTGTAGTGTTTATAATAATAATTGTGATGCTATCCAATTTGTATATACAATATATAGATACACATTTAAGTATGTAATGTATTTTGAACGATACCGACCGAGGATGTGCGTTCAAACCGTGTTAAGGTCAAACTATGACGTGGGCCGTTGTCGTCTGGCCGGTTCTTCCTACTCGCAGACATTTTTCAGCATTTTTTACATTTTTCACACAATTTTTTTTAATCGAAATAACATATAGCGTCGTGTATAAATATAGCTGTTTGCAAAATACAACGAGATAATATGATATTTTCGGATTCACAATAGCCCGGAGGGATGAATATTTTTACACATTGCACCCGTTAAGCGAATTGTCTCCGCCAAATTACATAACTAGTCTGTTGAGAGAAGAAAATTGTCTATAAAAACGGCAAAGAAGACGTCATCTCAGTTAAAAACCGTTAAAAAGAATTGTACATAATATTAAATATAATATTGTAATTTTTGTTCAAACCGTTTTCTATTATCTATTTAGTGTAGGGCTCAGTTTTTTAACCGTTTAAAAATATAACTATCGAATTAATTAATAACATAATAAAAAAATAACTCCCAAAAGATTAGCAACATTTATTATTATTCTGATTTATGAAAACGGTCACGTTGAATCTCCGAATTTACATATTATCCATATAGATTTGTTAAGATATTGACTTGATTTATTTGGTCGATAATTCCAATGTTGTTAAAAAAAAAAAAAACAAAGATTTATAGTAATTATACAAAACCAATTGTACCAAATGATGATTTCTCTATTAATATTGTATATTTGATTTTTTAGGCGAACATTCAAACAAAGGGGAAAACCACTTGTATTAGTCGGTAAGTTTATCCGATGCATTTTTTTTTTGGCTTCTAAGAATAATGTTCAACTTCAAAACTAGTGGCTCAATATTTGTGGGTAAATCAATATTATAGAATGTGAGATTTAAACTGGAATACAGTGTTGGCCACTCATGCACTAGAATTACATAATAATATACCACAAAATGATACATGTTTGGTAAATTGTTTTTTTTTCTTCTGGAAAATATAAAAAAGTCATAACATTTTATATAGGTAAATGATGTATCTATTGCACGCTTTGTAAATAAACCAGAAAAATAACCAACTGATAGATAACACAACGAGCCACCGCATAAGTCCCAGTTTTCAGTCATAGATTTAATGTGCATAAATTAAAATTAAAAAATTTAGCTTCAAGGAGGAGGAGAAGGAGGTTTTTTTCTTCTGGAAAATGTAAAAAATTCATAAGTTTTTTCAATAAAAACATCTCATCAGGATATAATAAATATTTCACTATATATATATAGTGATTACTGTACTAAGCTAATTGAGCAACTATATATGCTTACAAGATTATTATTTCTTTGGCCAGGTGTATGGGGGTGAGAGACAAAGAGAAAATAATGGGAGATAAAAATAACATAAGACAATTACTATTTACCTTGATTTTAACAAGTTCGACAAGGAACGAAATTGATAACGATCAAACACTTAAGTATTAATAACCATGTAATAGTAAATATATAAATCACTATGTTACATTATTATGTTTGCAGTTATCACGCATATTCTTACCAAGTCGACCAATAATATTATATAAAAAATCTGTATAGAAAATCATACACGTTTTGAGTATAATAAAAATAGTACACCTATTTATTGTACATCTATTTTATTTTGTAATTAATACGGACAAGACAGTTTTTTGATGACTAATAGAAACCGATGGTGTTTTTCTCGGCAAGAACAGAAGAAAAAAACAATAAAAGAATAGTGGAATGTTTTTTTTTTTTTTTTTACTGTCCGATTTAATTTGAGCCAATTGAATAGGATCGGCAAAGACAGCAATAATACAATCGTTGTTATGATGAAAAAAACCAAAACAAAAAAGTGACCAAGGCGCCAAGTCCATTTTGAAAATTAGCTCTTGTACTTAGAAGTTCGAGAAAATCGAAAACGTGTGTCTTTCTAAATCTCTGCTGACGGATTGTCCGGTTCGATGGGTTTGGTTTTCTTGTTTTTAATTTTTAACTAGGTTTCTTTTTTTTTATAATTCTTTAGAATTATACGCTTCCCTCCGTATAGGTATATACACACTGTGGTAAAAGTCTTATGGTTTAAAAGATTAGTGTAAACCATTCTCCAATTATTGTCGGGAACAGAATGAATGTTTTTAACTCGGTTAATTCCAAACTCAGTTTTGAAAATGATAGATATCATTTCGTCTTGGTCCCTTTTAAGTGGATACCATCCAAGTTATCAACCTCAATAACTAATAATAATAATATTGCCCATAATACAAACAAATACAACCGTTGTACGTTTTCAGTTTTATATAGTAAAAATGACTAATAATTTCAGTAGCATTTTGTTACTGTTTGCAAATCGTACGGTGAATTAAATTGTTTTTTTTTTGTGTATTCCACGCTACAGCTGACTTATAGACATTAGGCTGTGTCGGTTATTTCTTGACTTTTTTTTTTTGTCGTCTTTTTTATTGTAGTTGAATTTATTTTATACACGCTATTTGATGATATCCCTGTTAACCTGTTGTCGTTAGACGTTAAAGTAGGGGGGTTCTTTATTTTCCCATAAAAATTAAAATTGAGTAACGTTTCCGTTTATCTGCACAACGTTCCTTTGGGGTCACGAGCTTAGTTCTTAGATGATAATATTATTGGCACATCACATGCTATCAATTGATAACGACAATGTTTTTAGGCTACACGCGTAACAATGTTACTAATATATGTTTACAAAAATAACAAATAACAATAAACAAAAATATTTAAAACAATTTTTTTAATTTTGGTTTTTTTTCATGCGACACAAAAAACTTTTTTTTAAGTACATTTTTCTAACGAAAAATTATTATTTTGCCTAATTTATTACCATTTAATGGGTTTATACAATATTGATTTTTAATTTTAATTTAGCCTAAGGACATTTTTTAAAAGTCCCCTAAAAAAACTGAAATTAGAAATTGGGCCCTTGTACTCTAAAAGCGTCTTAATTGTGTTTAATAACAACAATGTTTAATCAAATTCAATAATCCCAATCAATTTTCTCACTAGGTGAATTTATTTCTTCGTTTTGTCGATCAATTTGCTAGTTTACTCAATTTGTTTATTTGAGTTGTTTACCAGTTAAATCTATTTTTTACTTGTTTTACTCATTTGACTTACTTGTACCATTTTCTTCCTCGATGTAATTATTTTATTCGATTACTATTTTATTTCCTATTCATTTACTCGATTACTCTATTTTTTTCTCGATTAAAATTATTATAATTTTACATTTTTAGCCCTTATTTTATGTATTTATAGTTTTTATTTTAAATGTAATTATATTACCATGTAATATAATACTGCTTTAAGCAATATTATGAAGATTGAATACATTATAAAAACGTTGTAATGTGGTAGTTAATGATTTCATTATAGTTTTGTATCATTTTTTTTTTATATATATATAATTTGTATTGAAACTCATTTTTATTATACTTTATAGTTTTCGTTGAAATTATTCATTATTGGTAGGTATAAGATTTCAACAGTGAAAACGTTTCTAACTTTTTAAACTATACACTCTTAACACACTTCTTTGTTACTGTCTTTTCATTATTGATGTTGTCCATAGTTAGACCTACGTCCGATAAACCCAATTGAAACGTTAATGTATTTTCTTGGAATTATTATAAGTTTGTGAACTTTTTCAATTATAATATCATTTAGATTTTTTCCAATGATAGCTCCCTCCCTAATTACAATTCCACCTATTCAAAAAAATAAATAAAGGACAAGCGTTTGGTCTCTTTTAGCAGTACAATAATTCGCAGAAATTTAAAGCTGTACAAGTTTCAGACTGTATTGTTAATTGAGAGTTGTGAATTGTGATCCCTGAAAGCAAAATGTCCATTGTCGAATTAAAAATTGGTCGACAATTTCTTTATAACGAGAAAAATCTTACAAACTGTGTAAAACAAGTGTCAGTGAAAATATGATGCCACATTTGGATTTGACAGTATTCAGGTATTATGTTTTTGGTGTCAAAAAGTTTTATCTTTTATCATTGTGTTCCCCTGTTATTGTTTAATGTGTTAAAACGAAATCCAGGTCCAAGTTATATTGTTGTTTTTTTTTTTTTTTTAATAGCTTATGTTGCTGTGTGCTTAAATGATAAATAGTAGGCAAACCAAACAACAATATCATGTAAAGTTTATTTTAAAACCGTATTCCCGTTTGAAATAAAACAAAGTTTGTTTGTGGTGTTTTTTTTTTGCAAGAGAGTACAATACTGTCAAGTGGTATTCATGGAAAAGCACAATCACGACACATGTTACATCAAAGTAAGCATCTATTGTTATACAATGTTAAACTACAGCGAATAAGCTTTTGTAATTAGTTACAACTTTCCTTTTAAGTTTTCATTTACAATATTATGAGAGAGAACGCATCATAGTATATTTTATCTTTTTGAAATTCAAATTGCGGTTTTCAGGTGAAATTTCCACGTAGGAGCAAATCACCTGATCCTTGAGCGGGGGGGTTAATCAAATTTGATTTTTGGTTATGAAATTAACTTAATAGACGTTTTTGTTTATTTGATATCCTGTCCAGTTCGCCTCAACACTGCGGCAAATGTTTTCTTTTAAGTTGGCTTAGGTAGAAATAATCCAAGGAAATTTTACTGTACGATTTTTAGCTAGCTTTGTAATAGACTATTTTTTAAACTACATAATCAAATTACACTTTTAACTGAAAAAAAAATATAATTTATAGTGTTTACACTTCATTCGGATACATCAATACATGTATAAGTCCTAATAATAATTTATGTATAATTATATGATTATTTCCGATCTATAATCTCCTTGCGATAGTATATGATAATAGTATAGTCTTAATATTGTATGTTCTAGCCAAACGTTTTTTAGTAGTTTTATAATATCTGGCCATAATTGATTTACCGGCAACATTTATCAATATTTAACATTTCTCATAAATCATATTTTGTGGTTCACCATTAATTAAGTGCCTACCTAACAAATTCATTTGACTACCCTTATATATCCTTTTATTCTTATATCCTTATATATCTGTATATATCCTTACATATCCTTTTATGAGGCGCTCAGAAGTCAAACTGATTAACTACATAAAATTAAATTATTCAGGACAGGCAGTTCAATTATTTGAAACAATGTACGTAAGCACAATCGCCAATTTTCTTAGCGCACTCTAGTGGGGAAAAATTCAACTATGGAGTTATTTATCTTGGCCACTGAAAATTATACACTTTTTTAATCCAACCATATGCTATTTTTCGCAATTTGAAAAAAAAGTGGAGTTAATCGGTTTGGCATCTGAGCGCCTCATATATTATCCTTCTATCCTTATAGTCTTATATACTTAAATACTTTTATCTCTAATCTCTAAGATCTAATCTTTTATCTCTTGTCTCCAATCCCTTATCTCTAATCTCTAATCTACCCTCTCCTTTCTCCGCAGCCGCCGAGTGTGACCTACGAAATTGCAATAATTTTTAAAAGAAAACCGGTGTAGGCAATTACACCACCCTGTATACCTGCTGTACACCGTGTGCACAATGCTGTGTCGTTTATTGATTTCAAAACAGCGCCAACACATAGTGATGATAATAATATATTATTTTGTACATCGAGCTTTCTTTGTGTCGTTTTTAATATCAGCTATATGATAAATATTTATGTTGTTTTATTGCACCGTAATAGCATGTGTGACTGCTAACATTCCGTCTCGGTGCTCTATTTCATAATATACTACGGTTTAATCTAT